TGCAAAATGTTCTTTCGATCAGTTATTGACAAAGCAAGTTTTCTAGAAGAAAATAAATAACACATAGTATGCATAACATTAAGGATTGTACAATCACAGAATAATCTCTACAATGTTAGATGAAGATTTTTGTTCTGCCAATCTAATAAGTATAGAATTGTTCTCCGTTATATTCTATTGTGACTTGACTTTGTATCAAGTTCGTGTGTATTTATTATTTTCAGATGTTACAGCTAATCATGATTAATCGAGATAATGTCTGTATTGTCTAACTTTCAATCAGTTACATATTGTTTTGACAAAATTCTGGTCATGAGATTTTTTTTATACAAAATATGGAAATTACCGAACAAGAGTCATGGAGTACGTTCTACATTATAGAAGGACGAGATTAGCAAATAGTAATTTTTCTTCCATTACCGAATGATGTGACAATAGGCCGACGCCCATCCACGTCAATAGCATAGGTTGTGCTATTCTATTTTTATGCTAGGAGAAAGAAAAAAATAAGCAAGCACGTGTACATATGAATACTGTTTCTTACAAATGCATCGATAATAATATTTTATTATACATTGACAATGTTTGTCGTATTAACGTTTGTTTTTGTCTGTCTACTCGTATTATATGTAAAATATAAATATTTTACTTCTCATCGTTCAATCCCAAGTTTACCAGGACATTTCTTATTTGGAAATTTACTTCAAACGGGACTATTATATGGAGCTGCTCTTCCACAAGTTTATGCATCATTCAAAAATAAACTTGGTGATATTTATGAGCTTAAGCTTGGATTTTTACATGGAATAATCGTCAGTGATATAGATGATGTACAGCATATTTTTTCTCATCGACTTATTTATGATCAAAGTAATTGGGTAGCGGAAATATTCAATGTTCTCGTACCAGAGAGTCTCATTACTCTAAAAGGTTAGATCTATTTATCTAATTAATTCGAAGAATATAATATTTCTCATGAATTAAAGGTGCAAAATTCAAGCGACATGGTTCAATCACAATGCCTCTATTTCGTCATGGAAAAATTCGTTCAAATTTCGATTTAATTATTAATTGTACGGATGAACTTTTGAATAATTGGCGTTCAAATTCTTCGGATCACATTCATTGTGATATTTTACAACAATGCCAAAATCTTCTACTGGAAATTTTTGGATTCATTGGTTTTGACTATGATTTCGATACACTTAGTGGAACAAACTATAATGAACTTGCACAAGCATTAAAAACTTATGTCGATACAATGGGATTAGGTTCCTATTTACCAAATTTTCTCTTCAATGCCTATTTGAAATTAAGTCCGAAATGTCGACGAGCTCGAACAACAATCAAACGACATTTGTATCAAATGATGGAACAAGAATTAAATGAAACTCCAGAGTCGAGAGCTCAACGAAAGAAGACATCATTAATTGCTTCATTAGTCGCTTCATTACAAACAGATGAACAAGCAGAAGAAAGAAAAAGTGAAGAGGAGAGAAAAGGTAAATGTAATTTTATCTACTCTTTCGAACGTACCTCTGACAGTTAAACTGATTAAAAAGAAAAACTTTCATTAAATTCAATACGTCAAAAAAGTATCATAGTCACTTCTCGTAATTTTATTTGTGTACATTAGAACTAACAACTTTCAATATTTGTATTTTTATTGACAGGTCTAACACGAC